AAATGAATATTCCAAAACTTAATCAATTTGAATCACAAAGTCTAGAAGGTTTACTAATTATTAGTGAGGCTTCTCAAACATTGAAGAAAATGAAAAATAATAAGAGTCCAGGCTCTGATGGTTTCTCTGTAGAATTTTTTAAATGTTTTTGGAAAGAACTGGGTGATTTTGCTGTTCGATCAATTAATTATGGTTTCTTCAATAAAAAACTTTCTGTAACTCAACGCCAAGGAATTATCACTTGTTTACCAAAAGGAAATAAACCTAGACATGTTATAAAAAATTGGAGACCAATTTCACTGCTAAATGTAACATATAAGATAGCATCAGGCTCTATCGCAAATAGAATTAAAACAGTCCTAAATAAATTGATAGATTTAGATCAGTCTGGTTTCATTGAAGGTCGATATATAGGAGAAAACATCAGGCTCATTTATGATACAATGCAATTTGCAGAAGAAAATGATATACCGGGTCTTCTATTAGTTGTTGATTTCGAAAAAGCATTTGATTCGGTTGATTGGAAATTTATTGACAAAGTACTTGACTTTTTTGAGTTTGGTGAAGATATTAGAAATTGGATAAAACTTTTTCTTACTCAACCATGTTCTTCTATTAATCAAGGGGGGAATTTGTCAACATTTTTGAGATTAAAAGAGGGTGTAGACAAGGGGATCCAGTTTCCCCTTACCTATTCATTTTATGTGCAGAAATCTTAGCGATAAGATTGGGAAATAATGAGAATATAAAAGGTATTCAAATAGAGAATACACCTATTCTTTTATCACAGTATGCAGATGACACCACTATCATTTTAGACGGTTCCAAGAAGTCGCTAAAAGAAACCTTACGTGAATTAAATGATTTTGCTAAAATATCCGGATTGAAAATAAATGCCAGTAAAACCCAAGGTATCTGGATTGGAAGTAAAAAATATAGTCAGGAAGTCTTTTACCCTGAACTCAATCTACAATGGGGAGACCATAAGTTTACCCTATTAGGTATTGATTTCCATGTTGATCTACACAGAATACCAAAACTGAATTTTGATAAAAAAAACTTAAGGCAATTATTAAAAGCTGGAGTAGGAGAGCCTTGACTCCATTTGGGAAAATACATGTTATGAAATCACTTATAATTTCACAATGCAATAATCTTTTTATATCAATACCAAATCCAAATGAAAGCTTCCTAAAATGCATTACCACTGAAATATACCATTTTTTGTGGAACAGCAGAAGGGATAAAGTGAAAAGGGAGGTAATTACAAAACAATATGAAGAAGGAGGACTTAAGATGTTAAATCTGGAAAGTTTTGTCAGATCTCTGAAGCTAACATGGGTAAGAAGACTATTACCACAAAGTGGAAAATGGCAGATTTTGTTAAATACAAACATTGATATAACTATGTTAATGAGTTGTGGACCACAATTTATCAATGAATACCTCAAAATATGTAAAAATCAGTTTTGGAAAGATGTCTTTAAAGCTCACATAGAACTTAGCCGGACAGAGGAACTTTTCTCAAATAAGACAACATCAATATTAAAAACACCACTTTGGCATAACAATAAGATAAGAGTGGGGGACAAGACACTTTTTTATAAGAAATGGTACTCCAAAGGGGTTATGATAATTAATGATTTGATAAAGGATATTAATTCAGGAGTCTTCTATAGTTTTCAGGAATTTGTAACCAGATATGGCGTGCCAACTAATTTTTTAGAATATCAGGGGGTAATTCATATTGTTAAAAAGCTTATTTCTGACACAGATATTACCAATCATCCAGTTGTATACCCATATTTACCAAAGGCTTTTGAGATTTACTTTAAAAATAAAAAAGGATCAAAAGATTTTTATCTTTTATTATGTCACAACAATACATTGTCTACAGGTAAACAAAAATGGAACACCATGTTTGAATACAGTGACGAAAAATGGAAACAAATATACAAATTGCCTTTTAAAGTAACAAAAAATACCAAATTACATTGGTTACAATATAGGATAAATCAGCATATTTTAACTACTAACACTTACCTATCAAAAATAGGGATAGAAAATAGTTCTTCCTGTTTCCAGTGTGGAACAGAACCAGAAACAATTATTCATGCCCTATGGGAATGTGAAAAAGTACAAAGATTTTTACAGAATTTTGAATATCTTGTGGACAGTCTTTCAATTCCTTTTGCATATAATAAAGAATCCTTTTTATTTGGAATATTGAATAGGAACAATATCAATTTTGTAGTGGACAACACAATAATATTGATAATGAAACAGTACATCTATAGCTCTAGATGTTTAAAAACGGAATTTTCTATTCATGGTCTCAAGAATCTAATTAAGGAAACATATTGTGTCCAGAAATTCATAGCTACTGGAAAACGGAATCTGGTACTGGATGAGTTTTAAAAAGTATGGAGGAAATGGGAAAAGTTAATTGAGATAACTTAGCATCATAAATTTGTGTTTCTAGGATGTGGTTATACATTCCCAGGCAGCTCCCTCTTAATTTCTCTCTCTCTCTCTCTCTCTCTCTCTCTCTCTCTCTCTCTCTCTCTCTCTCTCTCTCTCTCTCTCTCTCTCTCTCTCTCTCTCTCTTTCTCCTTCTGAGATATATTCCTTTTATGTAGTTATGTGTATTTGTTCTGTGTTTTTTGAGTGGGTGAAGTATGAGTGATAATAACATGTAAGAATGTTTGTATAGGTGTAGTATATAGGTAAAGGATGAGTGAATATGAATACATAGTGGAAAAATGAGTGAACACATCCTTCAGGGGAGTTTGTATAGGTGTATGATATATATATGAAGAATTAGTGAAAATGTAGTGTATGAAATATAAGTGAATCAGTCTTTTATGAGTGTTTTTGTTATATAAATGAGGTGCAGGTGAAATATGAGTGAATGTAGTATAGGTGAAGGATGAATGAATATATCCTATATAATAAATATACCAGTTGGGAGTGTTGTATAGATGAAGTGAAGGTGATGTATGAATGTAGGTGTATGATGAGTGACTGAAAGAAGAAAAGCTGAATGGGATATAAAATATAAATGAGAAAGTGTGGTATGTTTATTGTCTTGCAATGTATCCTGTTTGAAGAAAAAAAATAAAAAGTTACAAAAAAAAAAAAGAAAAAGAAATACTGGCAATCGAAGGGACGTAACTTATAATGACTTATAATGAAGTGGAACTTCAGAAATTATTTCACTTCAAAATATATGCAATGTATATACATGTATGTCACTGAACAGGAGTGAAAATGGAATGGAACAGGACAGAAATAATGCTATTTTTTTTTTTTTTTTTTTTCTTTATGTTCGACAAACAATAAAAAAAAAGATTTACAATATGCTCAGGACGCTCAATTCCAGTCTTGGTATACCGGTAATTTAGAGGTGACATTGTCAATGATTTTAAGATAATTAACAACCAGCATGACTGGGGCGTAACAAAAGGAATCTTCGAGCTTGATACGTCAGCTGGAACAGGAGGACATGCACAGAAAACCAGGAAAAATTGGTAATACTAAAGCTGGAATAGTACTTGCCAAAGATAAATGATTTTTTAAATCAATAACCTTGATCTGAAATTTAAATAGCATCAATTGTCAGACAAATAAGAAACATAAAGAAATGATCATGAATAACTTTCTAAAGAAAATATGTTTTTAAAAACTAAGATATTGTTGTGGAAGCAAAATATCTGCCTACATCGACTTATGTATCCTTTTGTATACTAGTCTTTGAACTCCTGGCCTCCCTAGAACCTACGTCTCAAGCTTGCTAATGGAATCTCCAAACTCCCCACTTCTCCAAAGAATGTCTTTGTTCTCCGAAAGCCGTCTTACAACAGACATAACTGAATGCGTGTTGTTCAGCAATGTTTTCCTGTTTGTTGGAAAATTGATAAATAGAATCAAATAAAGTGATAATTTCGTACGTGTTTGTTTCTCCTATCATGTTTTTTTTTCTTACAATTTCATAATAGTTCCTGAAACAAATGCCAATGGTTCGATAGTTCAGTCTGGTGAAACGATTAAACCAGAGGTTATACGAACATGATTCACCTTCGGAACATTCGACATTAACTAGTGCTAGAAATAGATAACTTTACGGCGAATCCAGATCATCATTTGACATCAGTTAAATATGTTAGTTTTGATAATTGGATCAAGAAAAGCTTCTCAATCAATATATATAGATTGGAAATTATCGGATCTAGATGTTGCCATTGATCGAATGTTTGTGTGATCTGCACGACCAATACTATAAAACTGAGCTGAAATCATCAAAGTAAATCCACCCTATCACATTGTCTGCTCTTCGGACCGTCAAAATGAGATATGGGATATTTTCCGGCGGTTTAAAAAAACTTATTTGTGTTTTCTCAATTTTCAACACCATGAATGGCTTTACATGAAATAAGACCGAATGAACCAAAACTTATGTATAATTGATAAAATAATCAATTAATGTATGAAATAATGTGAAAGTATTTCAGACGCTGCAGTTGAAACACAAACTTTTTTTCTCTCTCTACTTTTTGAGAAAGAGATTCTGCCACAAAAACTCCATGTGTTATCAGTTTACAACCCTATATGAGAAGATCCGAGGCGTCCGGTTTTTGCTTTTTAGATCATTGTTACCTACATTTTTCTTAATAAAACATATCATGGAAGAAAATAACATGTACATATTATATTTTATATTCTCATCATATTTTTTTCGTAACGATATTTTCCTGATTTTTAGCCATCGTGCTGGAGAAAGGGTATCCACCTGAAAGAGAATGCGCGCTTATATGTTCTGTATAAAACAGTTACATATGTACGGTAGTAGACTTAGTGTCTAGATACACAGTATGTTTACGTCCGTGCCTTACTACACACCAGCAGACTGATGACTTCCAACAGTCCAGGCTTGTTTGTATAATATTACGGTTGCATGCAGGGAGGTATACTATAAAACATGTAACAGATATGTATGTACCATTGTCTTCATACCGAGTGAACTGCCAGATCGGAGAGACAGACCGACCCCCTCCATTCCCTCCCCAGCTTCCCTGTCACGACCCCCTCTCACGTTAGTGAGGGCATGCATCCCTGTCTGATACACGTGTTGTAAGTGATTATTGATACATGACAGCGCTACTCCGATAAAATGACCGCAGTCCTATGTTTCCCCCTTATGGTATCCCCATTAACGTGCCCCGTTACACCGTAAGGAAAATTAACATCTTTACCAGCGTTTGAGCTCTTGGTGCCCCTTTGGGGCCCCATATAGTCTACATGTTGCAGCCGTATTCAGCGTCCTCGAAATACTACTCGGCTACTTGAGAAGTTCGATATGAATGCACGTGTACTTGTAAACCAGGATTATATGAAAAATATGAACGTGTAAACGAAATAGGTATATCATTAGCTGAAAAGGCCTCTGCACGTGCAATTGAATGACAGGACAACAACAGGTAAGCCATTTATTTGTTATTTTCGTTTTGTCTTCAGAAAGTTTTCTATTGTATATGATACATACTTGTATATAGTACACGAGACGCCATATCTGTTCTCATAAAAAATACCATGTATGTGAAACAGTCATACAATATGATATACATTTCACAGGAGACGTAAGATAGACAACACGCAGCCTGAAGTATGTTTCTATTGTATTATTTGACAATAATCGAAGTTTTGGGTGACACAATTTAATTTTTGGTATCGTAATTTTGTACTTTAAAATTTTCATCTTTAAAATTGAAATAATACGATATTTCATCCGTTGTTTGTTTAATATATAGCACTCTTTCAAGTTTCTGCAGCGCACGTTGGAGAGATTGTTTACACATGCGTTGTATGTACGGTATATATATATGTATGTCATATCACACTTGCCTAGTAAATCGTTCGCGGTATACAGTAACACACAAACAAGCGCCTGCCAAAGAATATATAAAGATCAGTTTAATATAGAGAAACAATTACTTCTAAAACTGAACATCTTTTCATTGTGAGTATATCAAACATCACATGTAGACCTTACATTTCCACAAAAATAACCTGTCATGATATTTTTTGAGAAAGTAACAACTTTTTATCAAAACTGATTCCTTGAACATAATTGTAACGGAAATTTAGATTAAAGGAGAGGGGGGTGGGTTCAAATTCAGTGATACATTTTTTTCCATTTTTGAAAAAAAAAAAAAAAATAGCTGATGAAGACGCCAGCAGTGGCCGTGTATCAGCATCAGGGACTTGGCACTAGGCCTATACATACATGTTTAAAGGGATTGTGAGGGTGGAAATCACGGACCGTGGATATGGAGATTTGTGACAAGTATATCTGATAGCATCTACAACATTTGTTTTAAATAAAAATCTTTCCAGAGTGACATCATGGCAACGTCGGCTTTACGAGATCACCAGGAGCTATTGCTTAAGGGGTTACATCACTTCTACCGCCAAGAACAGCTATCTGACGTCACACTGATTGTTGCGGACCGGAAGTTCCCATGTAACAGAAACGTGCTTGCCTCCACTAGTCCTTATTTCCGGTAACGTGCTTAATTCAAATATATTGAATTTGCCCGAACAAATGTGAGAAAAGGAAACAAATCAAAGTAGATTTAATTAAAATATTGTTTTTTTTTCTATGGCAAGTGAATTATAACTTCATTCATATCTGTCGGAGTAAAACGTTGAGTTTTTCTCAAGTTATGGGTTACGTTATTCTGAGACAAATATCACACTTGTTGTGTGTAGTGTGCACTCTCAAAAGCGATATCAACAAGGATGATTTTATCTCAGTGGTCAGACAATATGTTGAGTCTTCTATCCACCAAGTCTGAAAATATAAACGGTAACATGATTTACAGTGTGTTTAACAGATATTTCCAGATTTGCGGGGGTTTAATGTTCATTTCCATGACTCCTAACAAAATATAAAAAAAAAAACTTGTACGATGTTATTTCTACAATCGTTTATAAGTATGATAACTTTATATAAAACATTTGTTTGTTTTCAGAGCAATGTTTACAAGCGAAGTTAAAGAGTCCGATCAACAAATGATAACGTTGCATGACGTCATACCAGAAGTCATCGCAGACATCTTGGATTACATGTATTCGGGAGAGATTGCGATTACGGACGATAACGTACAGAACCTCTATATAGCGGCCAACCTCTTCCAAATGATGCCTCTAATCGATATATGTACCGATCACATGATAAGGGAGATAAGTCTAACTAATTGTCTGGATCTTTTTAATTTTAGTTCCTATCACTACAACAAAAGACTGAAAGCGTTGTGTAGCACATTCGTTACGGAAAATTTCACAGAAATTTGTAAAATGGATAATTTCTGCTCGAGCATCGACGTAGAATTCTTAGAATTTCTGATCTCGCGGGATGATATTGACATAGAACTCGAGGAAACTGTTTATGAAGCTGTAATGCAGTGGGTTGAATTTGACATTGATGAACGAAAGCGTCATCTTGGTAGACTTTTCAAACATGTCCGACTTCCGCTTTTAGAAAAACATTATTATTTGACGAACGTAGCCCAGAATCCATTATTATCTTACGACACATTCAGTAGGACTGTGTTGTCCTACTTCAATTCGTGTACAATGGACAATATCGACGGCATCAATGTCAAGGACATTGAAGAGGAGGAATATGAATTCCAAATATCGGGTAAACGAAGACTTGGAATGTTTTCTCGAAATTTAATCGTCTTTAGCGGTGGAGCGTATGGTCCGACTGAAAGATCTTTTACAGCACATGACCCGGAAACACGCAAGAATTTTGTTGGAATAAAACCCCATCCAACATTTGATTTCAAATACAAACTGGATTACTCTCAGTTAGTTACTGTGCTGAGGAAATATGTATATTTTCTGGGAGGAATTTTTTACGAAAACCATCACTTCGAGGACGCTGGCCCGGCGCTGAATACCGTTTACCTTTATGACCAAAAATCGAGTTCCTGGATTCCTAGAGCGCACATGCTGTTCCCACGATGTGCATTCTCTGCCACTGTGGAAGGTGCCAAAATTTACGTGACAGGGGGCAAACCTACCTTCCCAAAAGGAGATACTTTTGATAGTATGGAGGTATTTGACACAGAAATGAATAAGTGGAACATTCTGGAACCCATGCCGTTACGGCTATATCATCACGCGTCCGTCATTCATGACGGCGGATTATTTGTTTTCGGTGGACAAGATGTCATGGACGAAATGTTGGAATGCTTTTTTCGATATGATATAAGGAGTGGTCATTGGGCTATAGTGACCAATTCGTTGCCAAAACCCCGTATCGAAGCCAGTGCTATGGTCATCAGTGATAAAATTTATATTGTAGGCGGTTCCCACCGGCACGAAAATGCTCTAAGTGTTGATATTTATGACCCGTCGCTCAACAAATGGAAACGCGGATCTGACTTTCCTGACGAACGGAAATTCACCGCTGTCACAGCAATTGATGACGTCATCTATGTTTGTGGTGGCGTGCGAGTATTTGGCCGACCCGGTCGACGTTCAAGGCATGTGGAAACAAAGGATTTATATAAATATGACGTGGCCACCGATACCTGGACAAAGGTTATCAAGATGGTCCAGTTTGCTACTATAGGAACATGTACATCAGCTGTGGTGAATTATAAATATCTAACCGAAAGTGAATTTATAAGTACGACTGCTGAACAGTAGAAATAATTCTGTTAGATCAGTTATGTGTTAGACTTCAGACACGTAAAATATAGAATGTTTAAATTTATATAAGTTGTCGAGGATATTCCATACAAGTGCCCGAAGTATGATGCCAGGAACACAGTTAGATACCTGAGAGGAATCTTACGAAATAAAGTCGTATTTATGTATTTGTTTTATTGATTATATCCGGCAATATCCAACAATTATGTCAAAGACGGAAGTCAAATGCTCACTTAGCTTAACATTGATGGGAAAAAATGTTAAAAATCCATTTTTTACCGGAATCAATCGAAAACGCTTCAACCCAATATCTAAAGTTACCAACAAGAGGATACTCCAGAGCAGTATATAGGTTACAATAATTGACGGTCAGAGAACTAATGAGTCATTTACCACAACTGGTGGTCAGAATAATTCGTTTTGGTATTATATGAAATATTTTGTATCTTCGAAAGATGAACTAAGAAAATATCCATATGATGTTTTACAAAATGACACAAATTAGAAAGATATAAAAATGAATCCCCAATCAGCAGCGGATTCGTTATTCGAACTTCCAACCCGCTACTTGCAGTGTGTTCATTACTCAAATTTCTAATTTGTTGCTTGTGTAAATTCTTTGAATGAAATCAAGTACCTTAATGATAATCATAGATTTTTTCCAAAAACCAACAAATTAAAAAGCTCGAATTTCCCATCTGGCCCTGCTGGCAGTGGATTTGTTATTGGAACCACTAAACTCCAATATCAAATCCGCTGCTTACGTCAAACCCCTTGATTAGAGGTGAAAATAGAAAACCTTCACCAGCAGCATGAATAATTTCTCAACAAATATACTCTTCATCATGGCAGGGGTTTACAAAGCCATAATTGATATCGACATATTTATTACGACAACTTTACAAATTGTGGATATGCAAAAAATTGATTTCATATGGAATATGATTTCACATGAAATGATTAAGGAAAAACATTTCAAGCAGCACAAAACCTATAGAGTGATAACAGCTGTAGAGACAATAAGGAGTGTCGTGAAATCAAACACATTACGGCTCATTGTTCATGAACATGATTAACCCGACACTATCGTGTTTTATTTGTTCCCAAGCAGCTCTGACTGCCGATCAAACTGGTCATACTAGGGCCTTCATTGTTTGAAAGACAGACTATCTTTCTCGTGTAGACATACCCCAGTTCCGAGTGAGGTGAGTTGAAATTAGTGATCATGTTCATTTAAGATATTGTAATTGTCTAAAACCAAGCGTGACAAGCTATGACGCAATCACATAGCAACAAAAGACAAGGTTTTTACGCGGAAAAAATACTTGCAAATAGGAGACCTGGAATGGCACTTATTCACCTTTTCTGAAATAAAAATGGCCACCATGAAATGGTCTACAGACAAACCCATCATATTCGGATCCGTTTTACGATCAAGAAGGCCACAGCGTTTGTTACATCATAGATACAGCAAATATCAGGTGTAGATATGGCACTTATCTTTAATTGTTACCTGTTGATTAGATCATAAGTACATGTATCTAATCACGTTCTACACACTCTAGTGAAGACCCGAGGTGTATAGTTAGATCCCTACTCGGAGAGGTTTACGGTTCTCGGGCACCGAGGAAAGTGATATGATAGACCATGATGAACTCTTAAAAATCGTCAGTTGTCTTAGATGGCGCGCGATGGACCCGTTTAGTGAGATAACAACAGGACAAATGGACCTGTTTAGTGAGATGAAACCAGGGCTACTGGACCTGCTTAGTGATATAACAAAAGGACTACTGGGCCTGTTTAGTGAGATACCAACAGGACAAATGGACCTGTTTAGTGAGATACCAACAGGACTACTGGATCCGTTTAGTGATATAACAACAGGACTACTTGGCCTGTTTAGTGAGATACCAACAGGACTACTGGATCTGTTTAGTGAGATACCAACAGGACTACTGGATCCGTTTAGTGAGATACCAACAGGACTACTGGGCCTGTTTAGTGAGATACCAACAAGACTACTGGATCCGTTTAGTGAGATACCAACAGGACTACTGGGCCTGTTTAGTGAGATACCAACAACACTACCGGGCCTGTGTAGTGAGATACCAACAAGACTACTGGGCCTGTTTAGTGAGATACCAACAGGACTACTGGGCCTGTTTAGTGAGATACCAACAGGACTACTGGATCCGTTTAGTGATATAACAACAAGACTACTGGGCCTGTTTAGTGAGATACCAACAGGACTACTGGACTACTGGATCCGTTTAGTGAGATACCAACAAGACTACTGGATCCGTTTAGTGAGATACCAACAGGACTACTGGATCCGTTTAGTGAGATACCAACAGGACTACTGGATCCGTTTAGTGTGATAACAACAGGACTACTGGATCCGTTTAGTGAGGTAGCAACAAGACTATTGGGCCTGTTTAGTGAGATACCAACAGGACAAATGGACTTGTTTAGTGAGATACCAACAGGACTACTGGGCCTGTTTAGTGAGATAACAACAGGACTACTGGACTACTGGATCCGTTTAGTGAGGTAACAACAAGACTATTAAGAGACTTAGTCTCAATGTGACGTTAGCTGTTAACGGGGCGATAAACATAACAAAAAAAAAAACTACACATGCATGGTAAATATACAGATAACGATATAATAAGTCCACAGTGTCTACATATGCCAAAGAACAGCCATGCTTATACAAAGAGGAATAACTCGAGAATACTCGGCTCCTTTCCAGAGTAGCCTGTAACACGTCACCTGGACTTGTTAGATGTTGTAAAGTCCAGTGGTTGTAAAAAAACATACGTCTAAGGAGATTACATATTTCAAGTTCATATATAAAAGGAGGCTTACTAAATACATGAATTATTTCTGCAATGAAGAATAAGATAGTTCAACAAATATGCCTAGTTGTAAATATAAAAATATATACTTTCAAACACATAGTTAAGTTCTAGTTAAGGTTGATGGTACTTTACTCAAATGTTAATATTATTTATGTAGCCTCTCTGTATTTCTTACCTGGATTTAAGACGCGATAATTCCTCCTTCTGTTCACGTCACGTACATTTTACAGCTTTCTCGGCTGCACCTATCGTTTTAAACAAGAGTTATTCCTCTTTGTATATAAATTACTTCTTTGGCGCAAACAAAACCTCTAACAAGGTACGATTTTCCAACTTATACAGTATAAGAACTATTATATCTAATTACATAATGTTCTCACATAATCACATAAGCATGGCTGTTCTTTGGCACATGTAGACACTGTGGACTTATTATATCGTTATCTGTATATTTACCATGCATGTGTAGTTGTTTTTTGTTATGTTGATCGCCCCGTTAACAGCTAACGTCACATTGATACTAAGTCTCTTAATAGTCTTGTTGTTACCTCACTAAACGGATCCAGTAGTCCTGTTGTTACCTCACTAAACGGATCCAGTAGTCCTGTTGTTACATCACTAAACGGATCCAGTAGTCCTGTTGTTACCTCACTAAACGGATCCAGTAGTCCTGTTGTTACCTTACTAAACAGGCCCAGTAGTCCTGTTGGTATCTCACTAAACGGATCCAGTAGTCTAGTTGGTATCTCACTAAACGGATCCAGTAGTCCTGTTGGTATCTCACTAAACAGGCCCAGTAGTCCTGTTGGTATCTCACTAAACGGATCCAGTAGTCTTGTTGGTATCTCACTAAACAGGCCCAGTCGTCCTGTTGATATCTCACTAAACGGATCCAGTAGTCCTGTTGGTATCTCACTAAACAGGCCCAGTAGTTCTGTTGGTATCTCACTAAACAGGCCCAGTAGTCCTGTTGGTATCTCACTACACAGGCCCAGTAGTCCTGTTGGTATCTCACTAAACAGATCCAGTAGTCCTGTTGGTATATCACTAAACAGGCCCAGTAGTCCTGTTGGTATCTCACTAAACAGCCCCAGTAGTCCTGTTGGTATCTCACTAAACAGGCCCAGTAGTCCTGTTGGTATCTCACAAAACGGATCAAGTAGTCCTGTTGGTATCTCACTAAACAGGCCCAGTAGTCTTGTTGGTATCTCACTAAACAGGCCCAGTAGTCCTGTTGGTATCTCACTAAACAAGTCCATTTGTCCTTTTGTTATCTCACTAAACGGATCCAGTAGTCATGTTGGTATCTCACTAAACAGGTCCATTTGTCCTATTGGTATCTCACTAAACAGGCCCAGTAGTCCTGTTGGTATCTCACTAAACAGTCCCAGTAGTCCTGTTGTTGTATCACTAAACGGATCCAGTAGTCCTGTTGGTATCTCACTAAACAGGCCCAGTAGTCCTGTTGTTGTATCACTAAACGGATCCAGTAGTCCTGTTGGTATCTCACTAAACAGGCCCAGTAGTCCTGTTGGTATCTCACTAAACAGGCCCAGTAGTCTTGTTGTTATATCACTAAACAGGCCCAGTAGTCCTGTTGTTGTATCACTAAACGGATCCAGTAGTCCTGTTGGTATCTCACTAAACAGGCCCAGTAGTCCTGTTGGTATCTCACTAAACAGGCCCAGTAGTCCTGTTGTTATATCACTAAACAGGCCCAGTAGTTCTGTTGTTGTATCACTAAACGGATCCAGTAGTCCTTTTGGTATCTCACTAAACAGGCCCAGTAGTCCTGTTGTTATATCACTAAACGGATCCAGTAGTCCTGTTGTTATCTCACTAAACAGGCCCAGTAGTCCTGTTGTTATATCACTAAACGGATCCAGTAGTCCTGTTGGTATCTCACTAAACAGGCCCAGTAGTCCTGTTGTTATATCACTAAACGGATCCAGTAGTCCTGTTGCTATCTCACTAAACAGGCCCAGTAGTCCTGTTGGTATCTCACTAAACAGGCCCAGTAGTCCTGTTGTTATATCACTAAACGGATCCAGTAGTCCTGTTGTTATATCACTAAACAGGCCCAGTAGTCCTGTTGTTATATCACTAAACAGGCCCAGTAGTCCTGTTGTTATATCACTAAACGGATCCAGTAGTCCTGTTGTTATATCACTAAACAGGCCCAGTAGTCCTGTTGTTATATCACTAAACAGGCCCAGTAGTCCTGTTGTTATATCACTAAACGGATCCAGTAGTCCTGTTGTTATATCACTAAACAGGCCCAGTAGTCCTGTTGTTATATCACTAAA